TTTCAGGATTCTAATTGACTAACTCTTACCTTAACCATTTCAAATACAGAGGGTGATTCTGTGCTTTCCGGTCATGGCTGAAATGTTTGGGCTCACTTCTCAAAATTTAATGAACATGCAGCTAAATGCAGTATATGTAAAATGGTAGTTGCATGTAAAGGGGGTGACACCAGTAACCTAACGAAACTCAGATATAATATTCTATAAATCTGAAGTAATGCACCATGTTTGACTGCTTTAGCAAAGCAGCTGCTTCCCCTACATCCTCAGTGCAGCCTCTTGGCTCTGATGCTGATGGGATTTCCCTAAAACTAACTGGGATTTGCCTTTGACTAAAAATGCAACCGTCTCAACCTCATCAAGTCAAGGTAACACTCATTATTATTATGAAATGAGTCTGTAGTTATTAACTCAGTACACAGTTAGCATTTGTTTTAAGCAATGTTGATTTTTTTGGGAGTCATGGATGTCAAGTGTCTTGCTGAAGAGTTGAACCCAGTATTATATTAAACACAAAATTAAAGAGTACAGAGTGTCCTCCTGCCTCTTTCTGCCTTAAATAAACAATCTACCTTGTTAACATGTTTATGCAGAAGCACCTTCTAGTGAGCCTGTTCTGGTTATATTAAAGTCGATTATTTGATAGCATTGAATATTCTTAAAACAGAGTCCAACACACAAACTTATTATTATTAATATTTTTTTTTTACTTTAACTGCCCTTTTAAAAGTTTAACTATGTGCATAACAATTTTGAGCCGTCTACATGCAAACTTTTGCCAGAAATCTCATACTGAATGCCCCCGGTCTTTCACAATTATTTACATGTGGAACATGTCCCCTCCAAAAACCTAGCCTTTTCAAATATGCTTAGGATGAGGGTAACTTAAGATTTCATTACTTACCATCAAAACAACTATATGAAACTGTAAAACTGCATATGAAATGTCAATAAAGTTCTTTATTTGCTTCTTCTGATAAAACATGCATTCATATGGGGGCAGTCATGAGCTGGAGGTTAGGGAACCAGCCTTGTGACCAGAAGGTTGCCGGTTTGATCCCCAGAGCCGACAGTACGTGACTGAAGTGCCCTTGAGCAAGGCACCCAACCCCCAACTGCTCCCAGAGCGCTGCGGTTAGGGCTGCCCACCGCCCTGGGCAAGTGTGCTTACTGCCTCCTAGTGTGTGTGCTCACTAGTGTTATGTGGTGTTTCACTTCATGGATGGGTAAAATGCAGAGGTGAAATTTCCCCATTGTGGGACTAATAAGGGTCACTTAATCTTAGTCTAAATTTCCATTGTACCCAGAACATAATATTCTTGAGCTCTTAAGAACCACACAGTTTAAAGTTTTTTACCTATAGTTGTACGTTTAGATGTCCCCTCTTAGATTCTGTGGTTGCTATTGGCCCTTGAACAGCTATTTTCCTTGAGTGATGGTCTTTTGCGCCTATGATGTGAGCAGTGGATCACACCGACGTTCAAATCAGTTCACAGTGTTTATCCATAGTCCCAGATGTGATTGACACATTTTCACTCAGATGAAAATGTAGATAGGTCACTTGTCTTGATTGGTCATCTACTGAATGGGGAGAGGAATGCATAAATCAGTCACCCCTTGATGCACCCTCGCCACTAAAACTGGCAGCGCGAACGCTTGTGACTCTGTTTGGTGCAGTGGACTTGTGTGACTTTTAAGTATGTTTTCCCAAATAACTCTTCCAAAACAGTTCTCCTGTTATCCAACACTTCTGGACACGTTGGCAAAGAGAGTTTACTGTGGCTGAGTTCTTTAGGTGCGCTGATGTGCTGGAAGCTGAGAGTGACGGTTCAGTGGCTGCTTCCATGGAGGAAGAGGATGCATTTGTGAATGGAATTGATGCTGTGCTTGACATGTAAGTTGTGTAAAAACATCTAAATTCATGTTTGTTCATGAAAGAATGGATAATATACATTTACAGCACATTTTCCTCAGAATAACATTTTAGCGTATTAGCAATAAGTCTAATATGGTTTAGCACAGTAGACACAGTGTAAACTGCTGTGTCCTGAACACTTTTATGTGTCTACTGCAAATTTGTACTTGGTCTTACAAGACCTTGGTGAATTAGAACATATGGATCATGACTAATGTTTATTCCCCAGCATCCATATACACACTGTAAGCCCCAAAAATATCAGGCTTTTTTTGACATTTTCTTCCAAATTTGATGTTTTCAAATGGAACCTAAATGATGGAAATAAAAGCCTGGAGCTGAATGAATGTCTTGGCTCAAGTGTATAATTCAATTTAATCCCTGAATGATCACTGTGCTATATGTAGGACTTAACATAACTATGTTATATTGTAGTGGTGCAAATCATTTGAAAATGAGATTAAACTTGAATCTGCATAAAGGGGTAAAACTGTCCTCTGATGATTATTCATTTTCGTAGTTTTCTCTACACTGTTAGAAATAAAGGTATTGTACACGTACATTTTCGTTTATCAAGGTACAAACAATGTAAATGTCCCCTTAAAGGTACAACAGTGGTTTTAAGGTCTGATTTTGAACCTTAAATAGGTTTTTCCAGGTGAAAAGTTCGTATTTGTATCTTTTCATAACCGAATGTTTTAAACCAGAACAGTAAAATAAAAAGCCTGGAGATGAGACGGGGTGTGTGGAGTCAATACAATTTAGAAAATGTAATTTCAGTGGATTATGGTACAATTATGATCCCTGACTAAAGGTACTGAGATGTACCCTTGAGGGAACCACCCCAGTGACAGTTTCAGACCTTTATTTCTGAGAGTGTATGTAAATAAAGGCCAACTGAGACTTGTATGGGCAGTAGTATCAATGAGAGTATCGATAAGTATCGGGTCCCCAAACCTCAAAATGTCCAAGCTACTTTTAAGTACATCAGTAGTGAACTTGCAGTACAGAGAATACTAAAAGTACATTTTTATTTCATGTAATTAATGGAAATATACTTTCCTGTACACTTTTGAAGTAACACACTTAGTAACGACCTAAGTGTATTATTTAGGAAGTATATTTTAAAGCATGCTGTAGCTGCATTTCTGCTGCAATATAACTGTAATAAGCAGTAAAATGGGTATCAGTAATGAAATAGAATTTGTAATAGAATTTGTGTCTTAACAATGGTTTAAGTTACCTCCCTTGCAACATAAATAGTTCTAATTTACAAGCCTATTTCCAAAAAAGCTGGGACGCTGTGCAGAATGTAAATAAAAACACAATGCAATAATATTCAATTCATTTATTCCCTGTATTTAATGGAACATAGTATGAAGACAAGATATCAAATGTTGAAACTGATGAATTGTATGAATTTTGGAAAAATATATGCCCATTTTGAATTTGATGCCAGCAACAGGTTTCAAAAAAGGTGGACCAAGGTCATGTTTACCACTGTGTTTCATCTCCTCTTCTTTTCACAACACTCTGTAAGAGACCAGTTACTGTAGTTTGAAAGTGAAATGTTTTCCTGTTCTTGCTTGATGTAGTTTGGGGTCTCCTTTGTCATAGTTTTCATTCTATAATACTCCAAATGTTATCAGTCCTGACAGGTCTGGACTGTAGACAGGCCAGTTTAGCACTCCGTCTCTTTTAATACGGAGCAATGCTGCTGTAATACATGCAGAATGTGGTTTAACATTGTCTCGCTGAAAAATGCAAGACATTCCCTGAAAACGATGGCAGCACATGTTGCTCCAAAACCTGTATGTATGGTGCAGCATTAATGGTGCATTCACAGATGTGCAAATCAACAATGCCATATGCACTGATGCACCTCTATACCATCACGGATGCTGGCTTTTGAACTGTGCGCTGATAATAATACAGGAAAATAATACAGTCCATTTTAAATGAGCTCAGGCCCAGAGAAGGAGGTTTCTGGATCATGGTTATATATGGTTTCTTCTTTGCATGGTAGAGTTTTATCTTGCACTTGTGGATACAGTGATGAACTGTGTTCACAGACAGTGATTTTCAGAAGTGCTCCTGTAATGATTTCCACTACAGAATGATATTTGTTTTTAATGCAGTGCTGTGTGAGGGCCCATATATCATGGCCATCCAACATTGGTTTTTGGCCATGTCCATTTTGCCCTCCCCTGTCCTAAATTTATTTATTTATTCATTTTGGATTTTTACCCAATTTTCTCTCCAAATTTAGTCGTCTCCAATTTCACCCTCTAGTTAGGACTCCCCCAAATCACACAATACCATCAACGCTAGGAGGGTGAAGGCTAACACAGGCTTCCTCCGAGACCTGTGAAACCAGCCACCGCATCTTTTCAAACTGCCACTGACGCAACGTCATTGGACGCTCGGAGGAAAGCGCCAACCGCCAGATCTGTTACGTCAGCTAACAGACGCCTGCGCTGACTAGCATCGCGCTGAGTGATGGGGGAGAGGGAGGGGCCATCCTACCCACCCAGAGAGAGCGAGGCCAATTGTGCTCTCTTGGACTCCTGGCTACAGACGGCTGTAGCATCACCAGGGATCGAACTCGTGATCTCCTGATGACAGGGCCAACGCTTAGACGGTTGCGCCACTCGGGAGCCCACTGTCCTAAATTTTTTAAATGTCATTATTCTCAATTAAATGTAAAGTGTAAAGCCGACAGGGCGTGACTGAGGTGTCCTTGAGCAAGGCATCTAACCCCCAACTGCTCCCAGGCCCTGCGGATAGGGCTGCCCACTGCTCTGGGCAGGTGTGCTCGCTGTCCCCTAGTGTGTGTGCTCACTAGTGTGTATGTGGTGTTTCACTTCATGGATGGGTAAAATGTGGAGGTGAAATTTCCCCGTTGTGGGACTAATTAGGGTCACTTAATCTTAGTCTTAAATGATTTGCACATCACTGCATTCTGTTTTTATTTACATTTTGCACAGCATCCAAACCTTCTTGGAAATAAGGTTGTAGGACTTCTGGTTTTTAGTCTCATAAAGCAGATGTGTGAATGTGAATGAGACAGAATTCAGCAGTTTACCTTTAACAGTGAGGCTGAAGTTCCTGTACTGATTCTGGTTTATCCAGCATGAATATGTTCCTCCGTCCTCTTCAGTCAGGTCTGAGATCAGTACAGAGAGATTTCCTGTAGAGTTCTGGTTAAACGTCTGAACTCGGCCGCTGTAGCGCTGAAGGAGATCTTCATGGTTTGGTGTTCTCCACTGAACTCTCTCAGGTCTGTCCTGCAGGTCAGTGCAGGTGCAGGACAGAAGAACAGACTCTCCTGAGGATCTACTGACTGAAACAGTCTGTTTATTCTCTGACAGAGCGCAGCCTAAAACAACAACACACAGTCTTTAACTGACTAGAAAATACATTATATATGTTATGCATTACTTATTTCAATATATACACACATCATCTAAACCGCTTATCCTACTGGGTCGCGGTGGATTGCTGGAGCCTATCCCAGCTGTCATTGGGCGGAAGGCAGGATACACCCTGGACAGGTTGCCAGTCCATCGCAGGGCTTAACATATACAATTAATTGTAAATTAAATGGATTTGAAGAGTTTCATTCCAAGAATTTTTAATATAGTGAGATTTTTATAAGAACAATAGATAATGTTGATGGGAAACATTTTTATTTTACTTACAAAGATGATATTAATCATAATAAAGCACTGATATTTCCTTTATTTATGAAGCTCACAACAACTTATGTCATCAAAAAAGGCAAGTGGTCAATAAAGTTTTGGGCAACAAATCTCTTCATTTGAAATTGTGTTGTTATATAGAAATTAAAATATTGTAAAATTTGTCTAAACCTAAAGGGATTGTTGAGAAATTTACAATTAGGAGATGATGTGAATTTTTTTGACCACCAATTTCATACATTTTAAAATACACCTCATGACTAGAACTGCAACTATTGAATATGTGTGTTCTATAGAAAATTATTTAGAAAATTTCTAAATATTCTGTAAGAATAAGAAAAATGCAAGCATGTTTATTTTTTTAAGAATATTTAGTAACTGAATGTGTTTTTTTCCTTTTCATTATAATTTTGCTTTTTGCTAATTTTTATTTTATTTCTTAATATAACAAAAAAACAACAACAACAAAAAAAAATTCATAGCAAGTTTCATTACAACACTAAAGTGGGGATCTGGCGCCCATGATCAGGTTGCTGGCTCTGTGTGAACAGTGAGCGCTGCAGGAGAGGAAACAGAGTCTTTTAATCCATCTGATTAAAATGAAAATATCAGCTCTTCACTCAAAACCACTTCATACCAGAACACTCACTAAACTCAGCCCCGCTCGCTTTACCAGCCGCTGTAGTCTGAGTAATTCTCCTGTAGCTCACAGCTGGAGGGCAGCCGCTCTCATTTACTCTCAGTAATACATGCAGTAGGAAACTTATGTGAACTGCAGCTGGAGTTCAGATCCACACTGTGGCCTCAAACACACAGTTAGGAATAGAGTCTCACAAGCTGAGCCAGATCACACTCTTCACTGAGGCTACTGTGCAGAGCTGCTACTGTGCACTAATGCTGACCAGCTGAGTGTTTAGTTCAATAAACCCACAGAGTGTGGCTTCATAGTCACATCTGCACTACCATCACATTCCACAGCTACAGTTACTGTTACTGTTCTCTTCAGTCTTACAGAGAGAAGCTTCTGGAAACAGATTTGGTGCTGAGTCAGTTACACTGGTGCAGTGTGATCAGTACTGAAACTGTATAATGATTTGAGTGGCTGACCTTTGACCTCTAGATGGACATATGGCATGTCTTTCTCATCAGCTCTGCAGGTGTAGCGTCCAGAGTCCTCTTTAGTCAGATCTGAGATGAGGAGAGAGAAATTTCTGGAATGTGTTTGGTCGAACATCCAGACTCTGCCTCTGTAGGATTCTGTATCATTACACACTGCAGTCTGATCTTTAGTCCATGTGACTCTGTCAGTGTTGATCTTGTGTTGGTCTGTGGGACAGAGACAGGGCAGCAGAACAGACTCTCCTGGAGATCTGGAGAACGTTCTCTCACTGTCACTCAGCACAGCACAGCCTGCAGACCCACAAATACAAACACACACATCATCACCATCTCAACAACAACCACACAGTAAACAGTTCTCTCAGTGGTCTTTACCACTGTTAACTCCTCTGTTCATATCAGCTGGATGTGAATCTGTCATTCATTCTCTTGTTTAAAGTCATTTTATTGGCTGGTTTGATGGGAAGTTGATCAGTCAGGGTTGTGTATCGTTCCTGTGAATGTAGTTCAGTTTTCAGTTTGAAAGCTTTTAGGAAGCTAACTTTAAAGCTTCAAAATTGATATCCAATATTTTTTATATGAATATCTGCTGATGCTGATATGTAAACATTTACAGTCTGAAGCATATTTTTACTCATTGCTATGGAGTTTAAATTACAGAGAAATCTAATATTTATTCGTTCTGCTTTCTTGGAGTTACTACATCATCAGATATCAGTGTGAACTGTAGGTCAAATCTAAATATTAGTCAGATAATGATAATTTTTTTAAGCAATTATCTGCTGATATTGATATGATTCTGTTATCATCCTGCATCACTGTGACTGGAACTAATAACAAACTGAACACTAATCAGTAACGCTTTACAGGAACTACATGTAGATGAAGTATTCATGGAATATTCATAAACAGTACAGTAAGGATTCATTACAGTTACATCCTATAGAAAAATGTATCAAATACATTCATTAATGAGTAATTAATATATAATGTTATGAATTGAAAATACGGTCAGTGATGCTCAGTGTGAACATCATGATATTTGCATTAATAAATTAAATTCTATTCAGAAAATAATCAGCCTATGATAATAAACACACAGTGAGCTCAGTGAGAGAAATTCAAATCACATTCATTATTGATTAAAGTGTTTGTCATTAATGACTGATAAAAAACTAAACAAACTGCAATATCTACTCATAGATTAAATATTCCTGTAGCCTTTATTAACTGTACAGTACAGTAATATTACACATTCAGGACCATCACTTTATGAAATATTAGTGAATATTTGATGAAGTTCATGCACAGTTTACTGTTATGTATTGAAATGTGAAGTGTCATTAATTTGTATCAATCCTGAGTGTTTTTTTAATTATTAAGGGATCAATAATACATGCTGAAAGTCACGGGATAGCAGTATGTAGATTGATTATGAAGTAGTGTTACCTCAGGGGACGGCTTGGGAACGCCCACCCCTGTATAAGTTGTGAGGTGTTATCTTGTGTGTGAGGTTGAACTCTGGCCAGAGTGCTCAGGGCAAGGCGCCGTGAACTATCACAGTTCTAACGAGGCGTGATAGTGGGTGCCAGACGGGACTTTCCATTTCCAAAGTTTGCAGACATTTAACATTCCTCAGTGTCAGAATTGTCTATGCAAACAGACAAACGACTCTAGCAAAAATGACATCCATGGTCAATGCAGGAGGCCCCACACGCATATCCCACAAGTCAGCGCAGTTTGCTTTAGCTTCCATGGGATATGAATGACTCTGTTAACACCACAACACCAGACACAGCACCCCACCAGTTGCTAACTGGACCCTGGAGGACTGACAACATGTAGTGTGGTCCAATGATTCCTGGTGCTAATTTTTTCAGGGTGATGGTGGGGTTTGTGTGTGGTGCAGACCCCATGAAGCCATGAACCCCCAGTTGTCAGCAAATCACTGTGCAGGCTGGTGGTGGTTCCATACTGGTGTGGAGTGCTCTCACAATATGGGTTTTGTTCACTGGTCCACCTGAACATGTCATTGACCATTTTACTGTGTGGTGACTATTTGCAGCCCCTCATGGACTTTGCGTACCCCCACAGTGATGGGATATTCCATCAGGGCCCAGATTGTCCAGAATCAGTTTGAGGAGCATTCTGGAGAGCTCTGACCAATGATGTGGCCTTTATGGGACGTGGTTCACACCAGAGATCCTGCACCTACAAATACCATGGTGCTGTGGGTGGTCATCCAGATGGCATGGCTCAACATCCTTCTAGACGTCTTCTGTCCACTACTGATGCCACATCAATTGTTGCTGCACTTTGCTGGGCTAGAGGGGGTCCTACACGATACTATTTACTGTCCCATAACTTTTGGCATGTCTCATATATGTATGTAAGTGTATATATATATATATATATATATATATATATATATATATGAGACATGCCAAAAGTTATGGGACAGTAACTAGTATATATATATATATATATATATATATATATATATATATATATATATAGACAAAGGTATTGGGACACTCCTCCTAATTATTGAGTTTAGGTGTTTCAGCCACACTCATTGCTAACAGGTGGATCAAATTAGGCACATAGGCCTTACAGTCTCGACAGACACACATTGGCAGTAGAGGGTCGCACTTTTGAGCTCAGTGACTTTAAACAGGGCACTGTCACAGGATGCTGCCTCTGCCACACGTCAGTTTGTGAAGTTTCTGTCCTGCTAGATCTGCTCCTGTAAACTGTAAATGCTATTATTGTGAAATAGAAGCATCAAGGAGCAACAACAGCTCAGCCACAAAGCAATAGACCACACAAACTCACAGAGTGGGGCCGGTGAGTGCGGAAGCGCACAGTGACTGTCCTGTCGAATCACTTATGAGTTCCAAACTGCCTCTGGAAGCAACGTCAGCAAAAGAACTGCACATTTGGAGCTTCACAAAATGGGTTTCCATGGCTGAGCAGCTCCAAACAAGCCTAAGATCAAAATGCACAGTGCCAAGTCGGATGGAGTGGAGTAAAGCGCCGCCACTGGACTCTGGAGTGGAAACGCATTCTGAAAAGTGACCAATCACACTTCTCTATCTAAAGGCATGACTGGGTGAGTTTGGTGTGGAGGAACTTGACTGGCCTTCACAGCCATGACCTCAACCCCATCCAACACCTTTATGAGGAACTAGAACAGAGACTGTGAGCCAGATCCTCTCGTCCAACATCAGTGTCTGACCTCACAGATGCTGTTCTGGATGAATGGGCAGAAATTCCCACAGACTCTCTCCAACATCTTGTAGAAAGTGTTACAGTCTTGTATCTTTTAAATATCATGTGCTTAGACTCATATTTGTTAGGAAGAAGGAATGTGTATTTTAATAAGTTAATGATCATATTATCAGGTTTATATTACACCTCACTGAATGTGTTTCAGTTTATCACATTATACATTTATTACTGAACTGAATCAATGATGAATCAATTAACTGAATGGTTTAAAATGCTGATGTCACTGTAGTGGAATGTTACTGTGCTGTTTATGAATATACCATGAACATGTCATGTTACTGTAAAGCATTATTGAACTATTATTATTTAACTGAATCAGTTAACAGTACTTACTCAGAATGTAATGGTAAATGTTTAGTACTTACTAGTAATATTTGGTGCATAATTCACAAATTCAGTATGTAAGTGCAGAGTAACTAATGTAAGAAATGTCAGGTATATTTCAGCTTTTAATGATTGTGTTTCTGTTGCGTATGTGATACAGACGTTAAGAGTAACAGAGTAAGTATCTTTATTTGAGTACAGTAATTCCTTCCATATTGCTCGGTACATCTACTGGTAAGATCTCTTTAGTACTGTGATAATATTGTGGTAACAGGACTGTAAAATACAGTGTAACTTTGTTCATAATAATTACACAGAAACATGTTCTATTATTCTCATCATATCCAGAAATTACCCAGACACACTATCAGGTATGTACTGTAAGTTCTCAGTAATATGATGGAAAGTAAAGTTTATTGTTATACATAATATTTACAGAGTAACTATTTGTTTTCTTGTCTAATTCAGAGCATAAAGGTACACAATGATCACATAACCATACACAGTGTTGTGGATCTGATCTCAGGTGAAGCAGAGCAGTAGTAAGTAGATATTACACAGTCAAAACGACAAACAATGTTCCAAACTACCAGGACTATAACACACACAGCCCTACAGCCACAGTCACACCAGAGAGACAGACTTACTGGTAACACTTTACATTAAGTGTTGACTAACATGAAGTAATGCATTAGTTAACATGAACAAGACATGAAGTAATGCATTAACAATGGTTACCTAATGTTAAGTAAACATGTTACAACTGCATTAGTTCATGTTGTTTTCATGTGAAGTGCTGACTCATTAACATTAAGTAATGCATTTATTAACCACTAAGGTTCTACATTGATAATGGTTAACTAATGTTAATTAAACATGTTACCACTTCATTAGTTTATGTTCCAGTGTTTTGCTTGTGTACTGCAGTTATACATAATGCTTGAAAAAGCAATGTTAAGTAATAGTTTAACTGGCTGAAATGACACTTTACCAATGGGAGCCACTAACTTGTTTTATTTCCTTACTTCCATTTACTAATGTAGTATTTTGTACTGTATTTTTAAATGATAACACCTTTACTTCTCCCTACTGCTTTTCCCTCAGTTCCATTTCAGTCATTTAGGTTTAGCTGCTTGTTGGGGTTTCGTTGTGTCGTCTCGTTGAGGTGGTTCAGCTCCTGTTCTGCTGCTTTGTTGCTCCCACCTCTCGCTTTGGAGCTTTAATATTTTATTTTAGATGCAAAAGGAAATAAAAAGCTAATAATATAGTCTTCAGTTCCTCTGCTGAGAGATTCTGGATGTACTGAGCTTGACTGGACCTTTCCAACTTACTCATTACTCATGTATGTAAATGAGCACAAGGTAATATTTAATTTTATATATGAAAGCTCACATTAATATGCTACATTCTGATGTATGTTAGATATGCTTATGTGTGAATTGCAAGAAGGAATTATACATACCATTCTCTCAGTCATATCAGTCAGGCCTGGATGGGGCAGCACACTGAAATTATTTACTCACCTACCCAATTTCTCTTCCTCATTCCAAATTTCATCATGCATGTGTGAGTGTGAACGGGACATTTTTAGGAAGTCATCATACATTTAGAAATTGTAAATATAAACATGATCGTATAAACAGACATTTTCATCAAAGGAAACTACTCAGAGCAAA